GTACCACAGCAAAACAAACCCTAAGAACCCTTTTTTACTTTATTTCAAAGTTTTATTTTGGCTGAAAAGATATTTTTTGCTTATTATTTCCAATTGTGTTCAATGATAAAAATGATTTTTTCTTCATTATGTAGATACCAATGCAAAGTGAGAAAATCTAAATAACATAACATAATAGGGCTGGAGTTGTAGCTCGGTGGTAGAATGCTTGCCTAGCTTGGGTTAGGCACTGGGTTTGATTCTCAGTGCCATATATAAATAAATAAAGGTTTATCCACAACTAAAAATGATTTAAAAAATAATATAACATGATAATATTGGATAATATGTTAGAAAAATGATATTATCCTCTGACCAAAGAAAGACTGTACTGTTACTTCTTTTAGTAATACTATAAAAGGTCTCTCAGTTTCCTCAGCCAAAAAGCGAGGGTGCTCCACCTACCTGACTTCAAGATGGGATGAGGAGTATAGGCCGTTTTGTCAGGGCAAAGTGCACTGGAAACTCCAGAAGGTTAAATTGTTAGTTACACTGTTGTTACTGCAATTGCTTTGATATTTTGGAATTCAAGTCTGGAGGATCTATAAATTTCACACAGTTGTGGAAATTACATAGGAAGCTATATATTTATTCCAAAATTATATGGAAAAGCAACTTAAATTTTTTTTCTAGTGCTGTGGGTGTAGCTCAGTGGTGGAATGCTGCCTAGCATGTGAGGCCCTGGGCTCAATCTCCAGTACCAAAGGAAAAAAAAAATTCTTCTTATTTTGGATAGTATTCACAATTATAAAATATAGGCAATGCTCGGTAAGCACACTACCACTGAACTATGCCTTCAATTCCTATTTTATGAATTTTTTAAAGAACGTATATTTAAAAATAGAAATGCAAAGTGAGGTCTTAATTATAGGTTTTCACTTTTCTCCCCTGCCTGTTTGTTAAATAAGCACAAGGGGCAAAATAAAATAAGATTAAATGAGGACCTGATAAAGCTGGCTATTCTACACTATTTAAAAGTTGTTGATGAAACATTAAGTTGATGCAAAAACTTCTTTTTTGAGACAGGGTCTTTCTATGCGGCTCAGGCTGGTCCCAAACTCTTGAGCTCAAGCCATCCTCCCGTCCCAGCCTGAAGAGCTGGGACAGATGGACACTACTATGCTTTGCACTGTTTAATGACCTGGTACAATCTGGGGGAAAATGATTATTAAGTCATAGTCTATTCCTAAATTTACCGAATCTCAACTACTTCCCCACAAGTAGACTTAGATCTGGTTTATCACAGCCAGAGCAGCTGGTCTGCTAGAAAGTCAATTCCTAAGGAAATGAGCAATTCATGGTTACTCCTTCACCAGATTAATCTATATTTTGCATTCTTTGCAAAAAGACCACATGGAAAGCATTATCATTCTAGGATCATTCTTTCTTTTTGGGTGGGGGATACTAGGGATTGAACTCAGGGGCACTTGGACTATTTTGTATTTTACTTAGAGACAGGGTCTCACTGAGTTGCTTAGTGCCTTGATTTTGCTGAGGCTGGCTTTGAACTCGCCATCTTCCTGCCTCAGCCTCCTGAGCTGCTGGGATCATAGGCATGTGCCACTGTGTCCGGCTGGCTTTTGTATTTTTATTTATTTATTTTTGTGTGGTGCTGAGGATCGAACCCCTTGCCTCACATGTGCTAGGCAAGCGCTCTACCACTGAGCCACAACCCCAACCCCAACTTTAAGAAGCTGGAGCAGAGCTTCTTGTTTTCATGGAAATGGCTGTTGTGGTCAAGTGCTGGATGAGTGACAGGAGTACACTGAGGACCATTTTTTGGCACTGGGCATGCCTGAGTTCCAGCAGCTCTAGGTGTGAGCCGGATGCCACAGACCACCTCCTTACGTGGTTTGGTGGGAAGTACCAACATGGCCCTTTGGAGGGGGAAAGCCAGCCAATAGCTGTTTCTAAGTTCATTTCTGGGAGAACTAGGACCACAGAGACACAGGTGGTCTTATGACCTAGCATCTTGGAACTAAACTTTAGATTTAGCCCTTCTGTTTTGCAAGGAAGGAAACCGATCCAGATGAATATATCCAAAGTCATTGCTAGCAACCGAGCCACAACAAAGACCCAGTACTCTTGACTTGCATCCAGAGCTTTTCTATCACACATACCTTCTGCTGATCAATTCTAGGAAACACGAAATATGATCTCAGTGGAGATACTGATCTTATCAGCAAGCTAATAAAAATGAGCCACTAATCATATGGCAAAGGATCTGCATTACAGTGTTCCATACTTTCTGCCCCTATACAGAAGGAGCTTTTTTTTTTTTTTTTTTTAATATTTATTTTTTTTTTTTTAGTTTTCGGCGGACACAACATCTTTGTTTGCATGTGGTGCTGAGGATCGACCCCGGGCCGCACGCATGCCAGGCGAGCGCGCTACCGCTTGAGCCACATCCCCAGCCCCAGAAGGAGCTTTGAGGGAAAAACTATAATAAAGAACTGTGAAAAAACATTCTAGGACTTGGCTGTTACTTTTTTTCTAAACAGCAAAATATTATTTTTGGGAAGTAAACAATCAACTTCATACTTCAGTTGGAAGGAACATATTTGGGGTCCAGAGTAGGCCCAATTTACACACACACAAGTAAACAAGTGGTCAAGTATTTTTAAATGTACCTATTCTGTCCACTGATTAGATGATCCAAATTCTGATCTGTGGACTGAAGCAGGTTATTTTTATTTTGCCGCCCACTGAATCCTTCTATAACACTGAATTTTTAAACAAAATTATATGCAGCTTGTTCTCATCTCCAATGATAGAGTACACTTCTGTGGAAGCCGAATGGCGTGACCACACACAGCTTCCTACAACCCCTACAGTCAATGATTCCCAAGAAAGTCTATCACTTCATAACGCATGGCACTTCCCAGTCCTACAGCACTGTTTTTATTTCATCCCATTTCTTTACTTTTAATGAGATAATTCTAACACAAAAAGAATACAGGGGATAACCTATCAGACCGCATGTCTCCACCAGCAGGTCTGTGCAAGTCGAACATTTTTGCCATGCTTGCCTTTTAATCAAAATATTGAAAGCTGTTGAATGCTTCTCCATAATATCACTCATGCTCTTCCCTACCCCTCTCCTGACATGCCTGCTGTCCTGAATTTGGTGTCATTCCACACATAATTTTTGACTATAACTGCATATGTGTAACTCCATATACAGTATTGTTTTCCATGTTTTCAAACTTTAAGTAAATTACTTCTTTTTAATGTTGGCTTCTTCCAACTAATCAAAAGTTTCTGAGCGTTAGTCACATCTCAGACCTTACTATCTGGCAGGATGGAGTCTCCTACCTCGTTCTTCAAAATTATGCTATTTCCACCATAAAGAGTTTAAAATGAGTTTATCAAGTTGTAGGATTCCAAAAGGAACTTATAAACTTAGGCTCTGAATTACTCTAATGGCCTTTTGGACAATAAATATATGGTGGCTGAAAGACTGACTACATCATTTTTTTTACTGCTCAAAGGAACACTTACTTTATAAACTGCCATTTCTCCCATTTATTGACTTACAAATTAATATATATTAGAGAGACAAAACAAATCCTGAAACTTTTTGAACCCTTAATCCTTTCCTAGATGTCTAACATGAGAAAATAATTCTTATATGTGGAAAAAGCTAGTTGGATGCATAAAATGTGCACTGCAGCAATACTGTAGTAAAATATGGAAATAACCTGAATATCAATGACCCAGGACTGTTTAAGTCCACTAGAACAAATACACCCAGTTATAAACCATGATGTTCATAAAACTACTGGCTCTAAAAACTATAATAACAATAATGAAAGTGTTTACTTATAGCATTAAGTGATAAAATTAGTATATGAAATGTTTGTACAATGTGATTACGGCTAGAAAAAAATGCCCTCAAGTTGGGTGTGGTGGTGCACGCCTGTAATCCCAACTGCTCGGGAGGCTGAGGCAGGAGGATTTTGAGTTCAAAGCCAGCCTCAGCAATGGTGAGGCACTAAGCAACTCAGTGAGACCCTGTTTTAAAATACAAAATAGGGCTGGGGATGTGGCTCAGTGGTCAAGTGCCTCTGAGTTCAATCCCCAGTACAAAAAAAAAAAAAAAAAAAAAAACAAAAACCAACAAACAACCAAAAAAAAAAGCTCTTAAACATGTGCATGAGAAAATAAAATTTACTAAAGTGCTTAGAGTAGTTAAATTAGGAGAGTGGGATTACAGAGTAGGTTTCTCCCATCTAATGCGTGCACACATGTGTATATTTTATTGGCATTACCGTTTATAATTTGGGTCTACTTATTCTGGCTGTACTTAAATGTAAAAGTGATGAACATATCACTTTTGGGAAATGTTATCATCTATTTTTTCAGTGGGGAAGAAGAAGATGAGGCTTTCTCTTAAGAGAGAAAGCACAGAGGTCCAGAATGTGGTAACAAGGACCTACATAAAGGCCTAGCTTCATTGGATTTTCTGTGAGATTTTTGGTGAGTACCGGAGAGACTCTCACCAGGAGGGATGAAGCTCATTTATTCCCCAGTGGTTTTTAACTTGAAAATGATTGTTTAATTTTACTCCAGGCACTGGGTGGCAGGTCCTCTGAAGTTTGATGTGGCCATGAAACTTCTCTGAATTTATAATGCATGTTTAATTTCTGAGGCAAATTTCCCTCATTGAAGCACCCAAGTAATGATTTTATGCCATTCGACTAATGAGAGAATGCAATTGATCAATATTTTTTAAAAAGAAAATATTTAGAGGTATGGATTAGTCAGCAAACCTTTTAGTTAAATAGGCATTCATTAAAATAGTTCTAAAATCTCATCTAAATCATGCAAAACAAAACAAAAAAACTGCCTATTTAATTTTCTTGCAAGAATAAAGGAAGGAAAATAAAAAGAAGGAGCTTCTTGTTTGAAGCTGGGGGGAAAAAATCCCCACAACATTATTTCTGTAGTTGACACTGTACCTTAAAGACATGAAAGGCTTCAAACTGAATGTTGGGACTTTTATCTCGAAGGAGGTTCATCATCAACTTCAGGTTCTCTGGCTTGCTGATGTACTTGGTCATAATGGCAAAGTTGTGGCGGTCCAGGATCAGTTCACCGAGCAGCTGTGAGAAAACACAAAGCCAACGTTATCATCCATCTAACAGTCCTCTTATTCAAATACACCTTACTTGCTCTCACTGAAAAACAAAGTATAAATGTTATGGAAATCATGCTCTGCAAGAGACTGAGTTAAGAACTCAGGCTATTTACATCAGTCTGAAGTTCTGTGTCCTGAGCTGAGGTTACACGTGGCTTTAATAGGAAATTTGACATCCTTTTTTAACCATCACAACATTGGTGGGTTTGAATTCTTGGCCTATGTGACCAAAGACCATGCACAGGGAATTTACGATAAGTATTTCACAGGTGCAGGACAAAAACGGGTAACACACCTGCAAGTATTGTCATCAGGTGGCCTTCACCACAGGCAGCAGAGTGTGGTGACAAGATGACTTGAATTTATCTCTCTAAGAGTGATAGTTCTAAGGACTAAGCCTACAAGGTTATAGTTTAGGCAGCAGTTAATTGGCCAAGCAATCGAGTGATATAGCTACATTTCTACAGAGTTCAGAAAGTTACAAAGCATAGGAAAATAAATCCTTTTCCCAGGCATTGGTTCCTCATCATAATGTTCTTATAGTTTCATTTCCAGCCAGTCATTGCTGCAGCTTACCAAGAGATAGCCAGAAATAAATTTATTTTCGTCAATTACTTTAATCAGCTTGCTTCCCAATAATGTATTGCTCCTAGGCAGTCCAGCAGGACAGGAAAAACCAAAACTCTACAATTATCCCTCCTTTTCCTGAATAAATGTACTCAAGTACTTTAGCAGAAAGATAGTTTTATGTTAAGCGACTGTTACCCTCCCCTTAACATCTATTATAAAACCTGATATAAAACTAGAAAGATAAGTCATGGATCCTAAATCCATATCAAGCTTTTAAAGTGCAGCAAGTTTTTACAAAAAAGTAAAGCAAAACATCTAATGGTGGAAAGTTAATAGTTTCCAAAATGCAACATTTCCCTGAAACAAAATGGAAATGCCCAAAGTGAAAACAGAAGACCCTCTAGCAAATTGCTGGATGCATTGTTGCTCCATCTCAGAAACTTTTGTTTTCACTATAGTGATAGCATTTCCTAAAGGTGGTCATAGAAATGCTGGATCCAAGGAGAATACATTAAACTCGGGGTTAGTTGTCTATCACAACAGAATTTCAGACCTGTAAACTTATGTGTGTGTGTGTGTGTGTGTGTGTGTGTCTGCCAGTACACAACTACCTTGCTAATGATTCATCATTTGTCTATTTAACAAATAAGAACTACACACCTGAAAGTTATATTTTGTGCACAAAAATAATGTTAAATCTGAAAAAAGAATGACCACTGTTGCATATTAGTTGGTCAGTTATTCTCATGCATTTGGAATAGCGGCTATAGATGGTAATCTTCATTCTTGGTTTCCCCACAGCATCTAAAGCTAAGGACACTTGTGGAAACTTTCTTTGCTCCTGGTTTCAAGGTTAATGCATTCTTCTGGTTTCTTAGCTTAGCAGCTTGTTTCCATGCCGACTCTTCCACTTGCTCCCCCGCCATCTGCACTATGTATGTAGGAAGTTTCCAGAGTGCACACTGGCTCTTGCCTTTTATCTGCCAACAGTTTCAACTGCACCCATGGGTATAACTATAACATGGAGGAAGATGTATCCCGGATCTACATTCTAGCAGCCCCTTACATGGTCCCTCGGGCATCTTGCTGGTCTCTCACACAGTTAACATTGCTAATACCAATTCCCTCTCTTCTCCTTGTTAATGACAATGGGACCTACCAGTCCCCTAGGGCAGAGAGCTAAAGTCCTCCTCAGCTCCTTTCTTTACCCTTTCTCCTTCTCACATCAAATCATGCCTGAGATCTCCTTTTTTTTTTTTTTGCTTTTAAAGGATGTCTTTTGAATACCCTTCATTCCATTTTCCCTGCCAGTTTCCTCATTCAAACCCTCACTACCTCTTTCATCTGGACTTTTCCAACAGCAGGTGCTCTCCCCATCAGTCCCATCACATTAGATCAAAGTAATCTTTCAGAAAGTCAGCTGTGCATAATCGAATGGCATCCACAGCCTGAGGGGATCACGAGTCATTTCTCCTGCTTCTTTTTCTCAATGCCCTTGCTCAGCTTTCCTCATTCTTCTGCTTCCATGGCTTCTCTCCCCTTGCTCAAAAAAACAAAACAAAACAAAACAAAAAAAACAAGACACCCAAAAAAACAAAACCAAAAAAAAAAAAAAAAGTTTTTTTTTTTTTATGGTGGTGAAAGCAAATCCAGAATGCTTTACCACTGAGCTACATCCATACTCTTTTTATTATTATTATTATTTTTCATTTTGAGATGATCTACCTAAGTTGCCCAGGCTGACCTCAAACTTGTGATCTTGCCTCAGCCTCCCAAGTCGTTGAGAATGTAGGCATGAGCCACCACACACTGCATCCCCTGCTCAAGTTCTCTCCAGAAATTTACCTTTACCTCCTGTCTCCCTGTCCAAACCACACCCACTCTCCAGGACTAGCTGAGTCTCCTCCATCACCTTCCTCTCTGCTCCTTATTTGTTTCTCTTTGTACTAACTTTGTCTCTTACTGTTGTGCTATTTGAGAACCTGCCTAGAGTGTTAGAATATTGTATATGATAGACACAATATTAACTATACCAACAATGACAAAATGCAGCATTCCATTATAACACAAAACATTATAAAGCAATACTGTACTAAGTAAGTGGAAAAAAACTCACATTTTATTCATTTAATTTTCATATTTAGCACACGACGTAGCAGTAAAACCATGCAAGTGTAACTTGAGGTTTTTTTTAACTTAATATTTTAATGAAATTGACCAGAGCCAAAAATTCCATCAAGCTTCTTCTGAATTATAATCTTTCTTGCTAGTAATTAAATGCCAGGCCTCTGAAGAAGAAATAAATTCCTAAGCTCTGTCACATGAGGGAAAGGAATTTCTCTGTTAATTACTTCTTATTGACACCAAGACTCTAAGCACCCTAAGACAGTCTAGGAAATTTTAGAATACGATTAACCAAAGGCAGAAGGTGGAAACTACTTTGAAATCAGATAATCGCCTAGTGCTTAAACCAGTTTATTACTTACAAAATTTAGTATAATCTAGCTTCTCGTCTCTTACAACTAACTATAGAATGTCTATGTACAAAATCTTACAGATTCCATATATGTCAATATGGTTATGTCAGAACAGAATCTACAGCTCCTGCAGATCTAATTCCCAAAAGGAAAAATCAAGATCGCTCCAGCAGAGCTCTCAGGCAACATTTTTCTATCAGAGAAAAGCACAAACAATGTTTAATGAGCTCACTGTTTGTGGGTGAAGCCCTTCCACAGTCGTCTACTTTTCTGTTCCCTTGAACAGGGAGATAGAAGACCATTTTAGCAACATCTCTGCCTATAACCTTGCCTTCCAAAAAAGCCAACCTTCATGAAGTAACCATTGTAAGGGTTTCTGCATTCTTACAGAGGCTATATCTACCTATTGTCAGGGATTTTTTGTTTCCCTTTTGTCCCAGCTGGAGTTCAGTTTCACTATGTTGTAAATCCAATGCGTGACAGCTAACTGTAATGGATTTTAGCCGGGAAAAGCAGACAATGTGGTGGGTCTCAAAAGATTAATGAAGAACAGAAAAGATGCCTCAAGAGGTGACCAAGGTAGTTGTCAGTAAGTACAAACCCAAACTGATAGGAGAGAGTTTCAAGAAATTTCAGTACTAGGGGCAAGAGGTCTGCTCCTGATCCCAGCAGGAGAAAGGCAGGAAAGGGGAAGGGGGGTGGCCAGCAGGAGCCAGGTGGTAGGAAGCACATGACAGTGAGGATGGAGAACTTTTCGCTTGCCCTTGTACCCCTCAGGTGTTTGCCTGTACCAATCACAAGTTCACTGGATTGACAGGTTTCTATTTTTTTAAATGCAAATGCATGTTGGTAGGAACAGGTCTCATACCCCAGTCCCAAATATTTATTTAGAATAAATCAGTCCTTCCATAGACTGAACTGTGGGGATAATGACTAGGAATATTTTCTTGTCCAATTTCATTTGATTTGTTTCACAAATGTCTACAGTTCTGAGCTAGAGGTGGAGCTCAATGGGAGAGCACTTGTCTGGCAAGCATGAGGCTCTGGGTTTGATCCCCAGCACCAGGAAAAAGAGTCCACACTTACCAAGAGTGAGGCTCTGCCACTTCATAAATATGAACAGGGGAAGAGGACAAGGGCTGAAGACAGCCAGAGAAGAGAGGGACGGCAATGGGGACACAGGTCATGAGTGGGAGGGATGATAAGACAATGGGAAAGAAAAGGCAAGAAGATGGTCCAGAAGGGAGATGATTAGGGAAAAAAAGAATCTGTCAGCTTTGTGACTTTGCCTCAGGTTCCAGAGGCAGGATCACAGAAAAAGTTCTGTTCAAGTTCTCGTAAATCCCGATAACAGTACAAGGATAGATTCTACAGAGTGTGGCCTTCAGTCTTCTTCCTTTCTACGTTGGTCGAGCACCTGACAGACTTCCCCCTTCCTTTAGGAGGGATCTGGAAAACTGATGAGCAATTTCCGGTGTGCTGCTCTTTAGAGAACTGTCACTTCTGCTTAACCTTCCACTTTCCGCCTCCCCTCCAGGACCACTATCTCTTGCAACATGGACAAGCTCTCCTCATTCGACTGTCCTTGTAGGCCCTTCACAAATAAAGAATTCTAAGCCAGGCACGGTGGCACAGGCCTGTCATCCCAGCAGCTCAGGAGGCTGAGGCAGGAAGATCACAAGTTCAAAGCCAGCCTCAGGAACTTAGCAAGGCCCTCAGTAACTCAGTGAGACCCTGCCTCCAAAATAAAATATAAAAATAGGCTGAGGATGTGGTTCAGTGGTTAAGCACCCCTTGGTTCCATCCCAAGTACAAAAAAATACAAAATAAAGGTTTCTGTTCCTTAGATACGCAGCTGTGGCAACAGGATTAGATCCTTCTATTCGTCTGCTCTCTCGAGGCAGAGAATGGTGCTGAGCTCACTGCCTCTACCTGGAGGTGGGTTGCTCAGGTCAGCCTCATTACTATAAGCTCCAGCATAGACAGCAGCACACCTGTGGGATTTCTTCTCTAGGTGGATCACCTTGTATGGGGAGACTCAATAAAGAGTGCTGACTGATGGGATGGGGGAGCGGGGAGTGACCTGCCTGATAATGAGGAAAGCTGGAGCAGCAAGGGCACACAAGGAAAGGGCACAGGGGGATCTTTTTTTTTTTTTTTTGGTACCAGGGATTGAACCCAGGAGCACTCAACCACTGAGCCACATCCCCAGCCCCCTTTTTAAATTTTTTTATTTTGAGATAGGGTATCACTGTGTTGCTTAGAGCCTTGCTAAATTGCTGAGGCTGGCCTTGAACTTGCGATCCTCCTGCCTCAGCCTGGGGAGTCCCTGAATTATAGGCACGTGCCACCCACACCTGATTCAGTCATTTTAATTTTTCACAAATTTAGGCCTTAGCTCAAAAGTCAAGTTACTGGAGAGGCCTTGCTGACACTCCAGCTATTGGAGTGTCATTTTCTTTTTATCTCTTAAAAAGTATTCCCTAGGATGGGATTGTGGTTTCTATTTAAGTTGTCCTAGGTTGGTTTTCCTTTCTTAGCAGAAATATTCCAAATTCTACTTTAACAAGCCCCCTGACTCTGTTTAATTTTTCTTAATACTTAAAGTCACATGAAAATCTTGCATGTATCTGTCTACTGTCTGTCCTTTCCCAGTAGAATGTGAGGTCCACGCGCTGTTCTCAGCTAACACCACATGTCTAGAATGTATGCAGCCAAATACTGGTTGGCTGACTGAATGTCCTCTCACCTCCCTTATACCCGCTATCCTGAGAGTTCATCCCACAAAGTGATTTATTGGGGGTTGACCTTATTTTCTTTTCTAGCCAACAACATCATTTTAAAAACTCTTTCCAGATTGTTCCAGTGTAATCCTTGCGGATTTTTAGGACAGCAAGGTCTGATGCATTCGATCACGTAGTCTTCTCACATAAGAGTTTGTTGGAGGGGCGGGGAGGGGGGCTGGGGCTGGGGCTTAGCAGTAGCGCACTTGCCTGGCATGTGTGAGGTACTGGGTTCGACCCAGCACCACATGTAAATATATAAAATAAAGGTCTATCAACTAAAATATAAAAATTTTTAAAAAAATTACATGCGTAGAAAAAACTATATGCAGCTGATGTGTTTGAATTTGTGCACAGCCTGTGCTGCATCCAGAGTCGAGGCAAATAAACATGCATCACTTCCAAAAAAAAAAAAAAAGAGTTTGTTGGAGGTGGGTTTTGTTTATTTTTTCAGTGTAGAGATCCAAGCCAGGGCCTTGTGCATGCAAGACAAGTGCTCCACCACCGAGCCAGCTGATTTTTAAAAATATTATTCTTTTAATTCTTAGGGAATGACCATGTTTCATATTTCAGAAACTTTGTTGTAAATGTAATATGAGCACATCATGTTCAGAGGTGGAGGTATTTGAAATGAGATGAACTACAGTGAACACTGGCTGGCTGACTAGAATGTTCAGGGAAGGACCTGGCAATGAAATATGTTTTTTAAAAAAATTATATATATATATATATATATATATACACACACACACACACACACACACACACATATAAATAATGTAAACACTATATGTATACACATTATATATATATATATATATTTTACACACACATTTTCCTTAGGAAAATATGTTGCAAATCTGGGAGATAAATGCCTTGTCTAAAACTGAAGCCCCATAACATTTCATTTTATAAACTTCACTTCATAGTAAACATGTGTTTTCCCTCTCTAAAAGAAAAGTATTTCTGAGAATTTATCAACTGAATTTTCTGAATTTGTGTGTTATGTTTTGGCACTGATACTTTTATTTCTCTCCTCTTTCCTGCAAAATACTTCTATAAGTCTAGTTTATGGCAAGCTGCAAGAGAGACAGAGGATCATCTCTTTCTGCCTATTCTGCTTCAGGATGCACGGACAGAGATCTTCAGGAGCCTCCTGAGTTTTCCTCATGACATTTACTCCTGTCTTCACTCTAAAAGTAGTTTCTTTTCACCTCTGGAAAATATGCCCTAAGAGAGAACTGTGGTTCTTTTAAATTAGGTTTGGTTGTCTTTCTTAGCAGAAATATTCCCAATTCTATTTTAGCATGCACTTATTATTATTTATATTGTCACTTCCCAAAAGGTATTTGAAGTGGGATCCTTACATAATTTTGCCCCCAAAGTACAGTCATACCATAAAACATACCTCCAAAATTACAAGAAAACAGTGGATACTTTTATTTTTTTGACATTTGTTTGTCCACTAATAGATATCACTTGCTAGTAAGATCAACTTGTAGGGACTAACTTAAAAGAAATTTGATATTACCTTTAAAGATTGTCTCTTAGTCACATAATTCTCAGACTGAAGCAATTTCTCATAGTCTTCAAAAATCTAAGGAAAAGAAAATAAATTTTAGAATGTCACAGCAGCAGTGTGTTCTCCACGTTAGGCTCTCTCTTTTCAGGAGGCAGCAGTGCTTTGTAGTTCTGTGTACTTAGCCAGGGCCCTCACTACGTCCACATTTCATCACCCTTCCCTTCCACTGAGGGAATGACCTCAAGTAACACAGGAGACACACTTTTCTGTTTTATCTTAGTTCTGCAAATCCGAAATTGAGTCAAAGATTGGAAAAATTTGAGTCCTCCCAATAAATAATTTTGATAAAAAAAAAATCTGTTCAAAGTTGCAAGGTAACTAATTCAATAGAAATCTATTGGTAGCTATGGGTCCCCAGCCAGCCTCAGCAACAGCAAGGTGCTAAGCAATTCAGTGAGCCCCTGTCTCTAAATAAAATACAAAATAGGGCTGGGGATGTGGCTCAGTGGTTGAGTGCCCCTGAGTTCAATCCCAAGTACCAAAAAAAAGAAGAAGAAGAAGATAATTGTGTGTGTGTGTGTGTGTGTGTGTGTGTGTGTGTTTGGGGGATGGAACCAAGGACCTCAGTCATGGTAGGCAATTGCTCTGCTACTGAGCTATACCCCCAGCTCCTGTGTTTTCTTAATTTAAGATCAAAGCAGGCAGGCAGTGATCATTCCTTGGAGCCCCAGAGTACAACAGGAAGAAATGTAAACAATGAAAAATTCCTGACTCCCTAGCAACCTCAGTTTTCCATAAATCAACCAGGAGTATGGTTGAGTGTGGTTGATGTCACTTGTGAATGATAAATAAGGGTGATGTTCAAAGATCTAGGAGGGAGAAAGAGAAGACAGAGAGAGGTTAAGTCTTAAAAATGATTTGTACTTACAGTGTCATAATTCTGTTCTAAGAAGTCTGCTACCAACACTTTGTGTCTGGTTAGTAAATCCTAGAAAGAAAATAACCAAGTGAAACAAAATTATTAAGGCTAATAAATTCAACAATTGATTAAATTTAAAATCAGTCTTTTCCCTAAGGCTTGATAATTTCATTCGTTTGAAATAAATGTAAAAGTTGCAAAAACTTCTTCATTTACAAAATGCTTTTACTCCTACTTAAGATGTGAAATACCAGTTTGCTTCAGATTAAAAGCAACAAGTAAAATACCTAGTATTAAATACAGTGTTTTAAATTTGTATTTTGTTAGATTTATCATAGAAATAATTTAACTGATAAAACAAATGGCACCTCGCTGTGTACAGCATACTTTTTATGACATAATAAAGTTAATGGTTTTTTTGTGTGTGTATGTAGCCCAGGGGGTTGAACCCACATGTACTTTACCCTGAGCTACATCCCCAGCCCTTTTCACTTTTTGAGGCAGTGTCTCCTAATTTGCTGAGGCTGGCCATGAACTTGGCGATCCTCCCATTTCCGTATCTGAATCACAGGGGTTACAAGTGTGTGCCACAACTTATAACTAATGTCCTTAGTAATAATCTTTTTTTCTTTTTTAAAGACAGTATCTTGGTATGTTGTCCACATGGGCCTTGAACTGACTGAGTTCATGTGATCCTCCCCCGCCTCAGCCTCCAAAAAAAATTTTTTTTAGTTGTTGATGGATCTTTATTTACTTATGTGCAATACTGAAATCGAACCCAGTACCTCACACGTGCTAAGCAAGCGCTCTACCACTGAGCCACAACCTCAGCCCATGGATGTTATTTTTTTAAAAAACAAGTATGTGGATTGGTTTAAAGCCTTCTCTCACAAATTAATGTAACAGGTTTTCAAGTATGTGAACCTTTCATTTTTTTTTTTTTTCAAACCACTTTTAAACAGAGGTGCCTCAGACTCTGGGAAGCATAGGAATGACATTTAACAGTGTCATCTCAGTCTGTGCTGCTCTCAGGTGAATGGCCATCAGGCTTAGTGAAAGTCAAGGAGTCACACAACTGCCCTATCCTATTACAGACATAAACTTGCAGAAAACTGCACAAAAGCAGTCTGTCTCATCTCACACCTAAATTATATCTTTATTGCACCTTCATATTGAAAGAAAAATAAGCCTTGTGGCCCGGCACAGTGGCCCACATCTGTGATCCCAGTGGCTAGGGAAGCTGAGGAAGGATTGTGAGTTCAAAGCCAGCTTCAGCAACTTAGCAAAGCCCTAAGTAACTCAGTGTGACCCTGTCTCTAAATAAAATATAAAAAGGGCTGGGATGTGGCTCAGTGTTAAGCCCCGCTGGGTTCAATCCCCAGTACCAAAAAAACAAAACAAAAAAACAAGCCTCACCTAATCCCTTTTATAGCTTAGAGGCTAAATATTCCCGTACTGTGCCGAATTTAATTAAAACAAAAAAACCCAAAACAAACAAACAAACAAAAAATAAGAATTTAAAAGTTTTCCAACATAAAGTCTTATATTTTAATACATATTTAATTAAAACTTCCTCATGGAGCACATGGAAGATACACAGCAACCTCACAGGGAAAAGGCAGGCAGCAAATCTGGCAAACCCCATTTTTTTTTTTTTTTTTGGTACTGGTGGCTGAATCCAGGGAGATTAACATCCCCAGCCCTTTTTGTATTTTATTTAGACACAGGGTCTCACTTAGTTCTTGGGGCCTTGCTAAGTTTCTGAGGCTGGCTTTGAACTGGCTATCTTCCTGCCTCAGCCTCCAGAGCCGCTGGAATTACAGACGTGTGCCACCGCGACTGGCAAACACACCTATTATTATTATTATTATTTAGTTGTAGATGGACATAATATCTTTATTTTCATTTATTTATTGTTATGTGGTGCTGGGGATCTAATCCAGGGCCTTGTGCATGCAAGGTAAGCGCTCTACCACTGAGCTACAATCTCAGCCCCCAAACACCTATTTTTAATAAGAAAAATAAAACTTTTAAAGCATTTCCCCTTAATTTGGTAGGTTTTTCAAAAACTGACAAATATATTTTTGTGTACAACAGGATGTTCTGAAATATGTATACACTATGGAAAGGCTTGTTATGATTTGGGAGATGGGGGGGTGGTAGCTTTGGGGATCACCCCCAGCCGTTGGTTTGGATCTTAAATGACGCCCAAAGTCATGTTTTGGAGGCTTGGTGGCCTATGGAGCTATAGGGAGTTGGGGGAAGTTTGCAGGTGGCGGCACCTTTAAGAGGCGGGGCCTAGTCAGCGGAAGTCACCGGAACTGCCCTGGAGGGGCCGCTGGGAGCCCGCCCCGCCCCCGCCTGCGCTCCCAGCCGCGGGGAGCGGGGCAGGCTCCTCCGCCAGGCGCCTGTCAGTCAGGGCGTTCTGGGGTCCAGGCGCTGAGCATGGACTGCCACTTATGAAATCGTGATTCAAAATGAATAAACTTTAAGTTGTTTATCTCAGGTATTTTTGTCACAGCTACAGAAAGCGAACACATGGCCCAGTTAAGCTAATTAGCATAAGGTTACCTTGCATAGTTATTCTGTGGTAAGATCTTTTAAAATCTACTCAGTGGTTTTTCTCACCACAGTCAGTTGTTATTAACTGTAGTTGCCATGTCGTACCGTAGATCTTTGGAATTATTCCTCTTATCTAATCGAAATTTTGTATTTCTGATCAACATCTCCCCAGTCCCTAGTAATCACCATTCTACTTTCTGAGTTCAGCTTTTTTAGATCTCGTATACAAATGAGATCATACTAGGTGCCATTTTGTGCCCAACTTAATTTCATTTAAGATAATGTCCTCCAGGTTCATTCATGTCACAAATGACAAGATTTTCTTTTTTGTGGCTGAGTAGTATTCCATTATGTGTATGTACCTTTTTTTTTTTAATCCCTTCATCCATTGGTGGACACTTAGGTTAATTCCATAATCTTGGATATCTTAAATAATGCTGCATTTCTTCAACATAATGATTTCATTTTCTTTGGATATATAGTCAGGAATGGGAATGCTGAATCACATGGTGATTCTTTTTTATATTAAAACAATAATTACATGAATACAGTAATAACAATTAGCTTCTTACTCTTTTCCTTAATGGTGGCCTAATTTACATTGTCTACCAAAATTTTGCAAAGATTTCCTTTTCTTTCATCTTTTTTGTAATACCTGCTCTAACGGATATGAAGTGATAATTTCATGGTTTAACAATTTTTCAATTCAAAATGGTGAGACCAGCTCTTAGTTTCCTACCACTCATCATTACACAATTTAACCTTTACATGTGTCTGAAAATGTTGGTCCTTTTTTCTCCATTGGACCAGAGCATTCTGTTCTGGAACTAGAGAATGGGGAAACCCTCTACAGGGGTTCCTAGGATAATTTCAGTTATCCTCCCCTCATTTTGTTAGAGTCCTGTGAACAGTATCAGGGATTTTCTGAGCTGACTAGTGGTAGAAGAAGTAATCCTGAGGGGCTGCACAGACGCTGTGGATGGTGTAGCCAGAGGAACTCTCCACTTGTTAAACTCAAGAAGAGGACTGGGTTTCCCCACAGCTGCATCAGATCACTGCTGCTGGAACAGTCATTATGCATAAGTATTATCCCAAAGAAAGAGGAATCAAGGAGTTCCTTTACAACCACAATCTTCAAATTTCAAAGCCAAAAAAAAAAAAAGAAATAACTTAAAAATCCAGTAACAGGCAAATATAATATGACAGAGTAGAATTCTCCTAGCATTTAGCAGATGTATGCATAAAACTGGAGAATTTAGGGTTGGGGTTGTGGCTCAGTGGTAGAGCGCTTGCTTAGCACATGTGATGGGTTTGATCCTCATCACCACATAAAAATAAAGATATTTTGTCCAAAAAATATATACATATAAATAAACAAATAAAATAAAATTTAAAAAACTGGAGGATTCATACATATATATGTATATATGCTATGTACACATGATACTAGATAAATATAATTCATATAACTGAGCTGGGGGGAAGACCCACAAAAGACTAGCTAGGATCCTGCCCAAGCAGGAAAAAGCAGAACACTGCAAAGGAAGAAAGTCAAACTTTAAAGAATTTAAAATTTTTTTTAAATGTTTGAAACAGTATTCTTTCTTCCCACCTCCAAATAATTCTGGTCTGACAGGGCTAAATTTTGTGTAGTATAACTATTGTGCTAAAAAAATCTGATACTGATTTTTTTGGTGAATCCCACTTGGGAGAACCTTGGGGTGGCATGACAAGAGATAACTGAACTGCAGGGACGTGAGGCTGATGAGCCAGTGGCAGTTGCCATTATTGAGGACTTACAAACCACTGGGATTGTGCCAGGAACTTGACACATGTTAGTTCTAATCTTTCCAACAACTCTGTAAGGCAGGGATTATTTATTCATTTCACAGAGGAGGGAAATGAAACTCAAAGGTTAACTAACTTGCTCAAGGACATACAGCTGATCAAGTGACAGAGCGAGATGGAATTCAAAACACTTCAGTTACATAGGTTCTTAAAGGAAAGGATGATTGTAAGGAATGTTTTTTAGTGAAAGGACTATGTTGTAAACAGTACCATAAGAAAAATATAAATTAACAATGTGAAAACATTAACTATTAAACTGGGCAAGTTATTTTGCAGCAAAATGAAAAAAAGTGAGTCTTAATAGGTTAAAAAAACCAAGACCAAAGCCAAAAGTAAATCCATTCAACCAACCAAGTAAACAAAACCTTTTGAAACCAGCTACTTAAAAAAAAAAAAAATAGTGACATAGTCATTGTTACATTAACCACAGCATTTTGGTAAAGTATAGAAAATTGGTGTTTTTGATATTGGTAGTGTGCTGGAAAACTTTTTATGGTTTAAATTTTCAAGGTTGACTTACGTTCAATGGAAAATAGGCTGAAATATAAACATCTAATTTATATTTGTGATTTAATATTATTGAAAATTAATTTGGGCTGAATATAAGATAGCAAGAAGTTATTATCTAGGCTGGGCATAGTGGTGCATATCTGTAATCT